TGTATAGTGTTACAGGAACTTTGCTGTTAGTCCTCCTCCTCGAGCTGCCCCAACTATCCAAAAGTCATTCCATGCAAGTGTGCTCAAGTGACATAGCAAAAATCAGCCCATGGACATTGTTTAAATATTTTTCAATTGTATTTTGTGATCTCCTTCCTTTGCAGCAACTATAATCTGCTTTCACACACCAGCCAACCACAAGATGCCGTCATTAAGAAAACTAAAACACAGGATGGTTTGTTTCCTCAGAAAGAGGAACTGTTACATGTGGGAGAATACTGTCTGCACACCCCTTCCTTCTCCTACAAAGATGAGTGAGTTCATGGAGAATCTCTTCCCTTGGAAAATCATTCATCTGGTTTAGCTGGATTGTTGATTTCTAGGTGTGACACTAAGCACCCCAGTATTCACAACCTGTACACTATTGTAATAATCTTTATACAAAATATGCCTTGTGAGATATCATTTGAAAATGAATAACTCACTGATGATTAATAATCTTGCACCATGTATGTATGAGGTGGGTATTAAGAATTATGGACATGTACTGGAATTATACCTGGTTTGATCATATTTTAGTGATGTCAGGGAGTTGTTAAACAGGTCTATCCCAAAAAAATGAATGTGTGTTTACCTCAGGTTACATATAAGCTCCCAACTTGTTGAGACAAACCTCACACTAGCATGTGTGGGAGAACACAGCATGGCATCTACACCCAGCAGGAGAAAGCAGCTTGCTCTGGGTTTAATTTTTCAGAAGAATAACTTAAAAGGTTTACTGGGCTAAAAAGACAGGGGGGCTGAACTTCAAGTGATATTCAGCTGATTGAAAACAATATTACTGTATTATAAGAGCATAAGCATATTTTATTTTGTTTGGCTTGTAACTTTCTATCTTTTATTCCTTATACTTGAATTTATTTCATTCTATATATAGTTTGTTAATACATTTATTTCATTTTTACCATAAACCAACTAAGTCCTGTGTTTAAAGGGAAGGATGTAGTTACCCCAGTTACATTTAATTATCTGTGTTGTGTTTTGTTTTGTTTCTTTAGAGGAACAAACAAACCATATTATTTCTCTGAACTGCCCAGGAGAGGACTGGATATTGCAAAGCACATGGTTTGGGGAAAATTCAGAACTGGGAATGTGTTGGGGTCATCCAGCAAGTAGTAACCAAGGCTCATGGAAGTCAGAATAGGGCTGTAGATGGGCTGCTGTGGCCTGTTTACCACAGATTTGCATATGGACCCTGAGATGATTTAGGAATCTGATTCTGGAACCACAGATCTGCCCACAGTAGGTACAGACATTTCCTGGAGGGTCAGCCACCTGCTGAGAGAAAGTTCTTTCTTTTTACTTCCTTCTCTCTCTCTCTTTTCAGCTTTGAGGGCAAGGTGCTTCTCCTTGAAGCAGGCCACTGCCTGATGGAGGATATGGTGCCATTTGGGTTGGTTGGTGGTTTGCTCCTCCCAGCTTGTGGTATCCACATCAGTTTTCTTGAGATAAGCTTTCAGTGTATCTTTATAGTGTTCCCTCTGACCACCACAGGATCTCTGACCATGGCTGGGCTGAGAGTAGAGGGCTTGTTTTGGGAAGTATGAGTCTGGCATCCACACACAATGTCCAGCCCAGTGGAGTTGCTGCATGAGGATCATTGCTTCAGTGCTGGTGACATTGGCTTCAGTGAGGATGCTGGCATTAGTGCAGCGATCTTACCACTTGATGCGAAGGATCTTCCAGAGGCATCATTGGTGGTATCTCTTCAGACTCTTGAGCTATACATAGGTCATCCGGGTTTCGCAAACGTAAAGGAATAACAGTTGTGTTACAGATCTGGATCTTGGTGTCCTTCTGTAGGTCACAGTCCCGTGAAAATGTGTTGGAGAAGTTTCCCAAAGGAAGCACTTGTGCACTGGATCCTGTGCTGGATCTCATTGTCAATTTTTGCATTTTGAGAAAGTTGGCTACAGAGATAGCAGAAGTGCTCAACTGTCTCCAAAGTCTGTTCCTTGATGGTGACTTGTGATGGGTCATGTGCAAGGGGCCTGAAACACTAAAGCATAACTCCTCCTTTACTTCAGTGGGATCAGGATTGGTACCTAGGATATTATCTGTATTCCCATAGCACCTCTCATTGCCTAAGTAATAGACCAGGACCCATTCCCTAGGCATGGTGCAAAAAAACTGTCCCTGCCCCAAAGAGCTTTCCATTTCAGTATACTCTAATCATATGGGAAACAGGTTCCAGATATTGATTTGTATGGGGCCTGATGATGTAACTCCCTCACCACTAACTCACATGAGTCCTCTCTCAGAAGTCAATAGTCATGTTCATGTAGCTACTGCACACTGAGGTTTGTAATAGAGCAGTCTATTACCGTCTTTGAATGTTCTTTAACACCCTAACTTCCTAAGTTCTGCTCCATCTGCTGTTATCATTTCTCTTTTAGTTTAAACACAAAGAGAGAGAGGATTGTTTAAAAATACTATGAAAAGACTTAACATACAAAGAAAGGGCTTGATTGTGTCATTTTGCCACAGCCCAGAGCGAAGGACGTTCTGGAGTTGCAGAACCCCGGCAGGAGCAATGGGAGGCATTCTATCTTTGTGCCTATTGCTAGATCTCTTTGTGGGGGTGCACGTTACTCTCCTTGAGCATATGGCTGATGAAAAAGCAGCACTGAGCCATGACGCTGTTTCCTCACCGTCTCACTGTTGTCTACTGTGTGCTTTTTGGGAGAGGCACTAGCTGCATGTACAGCACCTAGCACAATGGGCCTTTGTTCATGGACAATGCTTCTTAGCACTGTTGTAACATAAGCTGTAATCAAACTACTAATATCTGCAACCATATTCAGCAAGATTACACTTACATATATGGCGTCTGGCTGTGAAAATAAGGCCCTCTGTCTACATTGTTAAAGCATTCCATGTTAATTTGTTAGTTTCCAGACTGCTATATGAAATAGGCAAGTACAGTGCTATTAGAAAAGGAGTACTTGTGGCACCTTGGAGACTAGCTGTAGCTCACGAAAGCTTATGCTCAAATAAATTGGTTAGTCTCTAAGGTGCCACAAGAACTCCTTTTCTTTTTGCGAATACAGACTAACACGGCTGTTGCTCTGAAACCTGCTACAGTGCTATTGTATATCATATCAGAGTCATATCGAAGCCAGCATCAGACCTGCCACTGCCTCAGTTTATCATACATCAAACAAGCCACCCCAGCTGGCACTTTCATAGAACTATTTCACTACCAGCCCTCTCCTTTCAGTTTGTAATGGGCTTCAACATCCACATAGCCCTCCCTTTAGGTTATAACATCTTCCCAGCCCTTTACCATGACTGCTGCCTGCTCATAGCCCTCCCTCCAGCCGATCTACCGGGCTCCTGCATGCCCCAGGCCCTCTGTCTAGGAGTACCTCCTTGCATACAACAGCTTTTGAGACTCTGCCCCCACTCAGTTCAGATTGCCCCTTATATCTGCCAGCAGGCCTGGTTCTGAATCACATGCTCTCACCATGTGACCATTCCCTTCACCTGGGAAGGCAAGCTACACCTGGTTTACCATGAAATAGGCACATGGGAAAATAGAGGATGTGATAAAGCTAGGATGAGCATTTAGGAGGTCTTTCTCTGAGCAAAACCTGATAAACCATGCTGGCTCTCAATAGAAACCTTACTTCATTTTGGAGTCATAATATTATTCCACATCATTTTTCATCAGCTCAGACAAAAGCCTGTAACTGTGAGTCATTATTTCCATTTTGCAGCTGTAGAAACTTGCAGTCAAATGCAAAGGACTATGTTAACTCCCATAAAAGCAGGTCACCAGTGAATCTAGCTGCACACAACCGTTATCTCATTCACACTGCTGTAAATTCAAAACAGCTCCAGTATCATCATTTGAAGAAAGGGAATGTTGTCTAATGGCACCAGCAGAGAACGGGGAGCCAAGGCTCATGGGTTTTGTTCTCAGCTGTGAGCGCTGTGCGAAATACTCACATTGATCCTGAAGCTTCAGTTCACAAAATCTCAAGTCTTCAGCGAGGGCCTCCTGTGGCTACCTCCCAGCTTGAGGAAGCACTGGTAACAGATCACTGGCTCCCCTAATCCTACCCCACCTCAGTAATACAGCAGGGATAAAACACCCCTCCTACTGTCAGCCAGCTCCAAAGACCTCAATATTAGTAGCATACACGATAGACAATGTGTAGGTCAGAGTACTTTAACAATGAGCTGGAGATATTCACCATAAGCCCTAGCACCTTTGCTCAGGAACCCCCAAGTTCTCCCTAGTTATCACTTTAAGGATTTGAGGGCTTCTCTCAGCCTCAGCTCAGCGGCACCTGCTGATTGTGGAAGTTGTTCTATTAAGAATCAACACATCCAGCACCCCTTTCTTCAAGAAGCAGGTCTGCGAAATGTATGTGGCGACCCCACAGAGTGCTAATTTTGGCCCCTCCCATGGGCCTATGGGAAAAAATAAACACTCTTCCCTAGAAGAGGGGGCTGCTCTGTGTGCCCAGCTCTATTCCTTGTAAAATACAGCTGTCTCTACTCACCCCTGCTTAGCTGCATCACTGGCTATAAAGTCAGGTTTCAGAGTAACAGCCGTGTTAGTCTGTATTGGCAAAGAGAAAAGGAGTACTTGTGGCACCTTAGCCCTGGTCTACACTAGGACTTTAGGTCGAATTTAGCAGCGTTAAATCGATGTAAACCTGCACCCGTCCACACGATGAAGCCCTTCATTTCGACTTAAAGCGCTCTTAAAATCGATTCCCTTACTCCACCCCGACAAGTGGATTAGCGCTTAAATCGACCTTGCTGGATCAAATTTGGGGTACTGTGGACACAATTCGATGGTATTGGCCTCCGGGAGCTATCCCAGAGTGCTCCATTATGACCGCTCTGGACAGCACTCTCAACTCAGATGCACTGGCCAGGTAGACAGGAAAAGAACCGCGAACTCTTAAATCTCATTTCCTGTTTGGCCAGCATGGCAAGCTGCAGGTGACCATGCAGAGCTCATCAGCAGAGGTGACCATGATGGAGTCCCAGAATCGCAAAAGAGCTCCAGCATGGACTGAACGGGAGGTACGGGATCTGATCGCTGTTTGGGGAGAGGAATCCGTGCTATCAGAACTCCGTTCCAGTTTTCGAAATGCCAAAACCTTTGTCAAAATCTCCCAGGGCATGAAGGACAGAGGCCATAACAGGGACCCAAAGCAGTGCCGCGTGAAACTGAAGGAGCTGAGGCAAGCCTACCAGAAAACCAGAGAGGCGAACGGCTGCTCCGGGTCAGAGCCCCAAACATGCCGCTTCTATGATGAGCTGCATGCCATTTTAGGGGGTTCAGCCACCACTACCCCAGCCGTGTTGTTTGACTCCTTCAATGGAGATGGAGGCAATACGGAAGTAGGTTTTGGGGACGAAGAAGATGATGATGAGGAGGAGGTTGTAGATAGCTCACAGCAAGCAAGCTGAGAAACTGGTTTTCCTGACAGCCAGGAACTGTTTCTCACCCTGGACCTGGAGCCAGTACCCCCCGAACCCACCCAAGGCTGCCTCCTGGACCCAGCAGGTGGAGAAGGGACCTCTGGTGAGTGTACCTTTTAAAATACTATACATGGTTTAAAAGCAAGCATGTGAAAGGATTACTTTGCCCTGGCATTCGCGGGTCTCCTAGATGTACTCCTAAAGCCTTTGCAAAAGGTTTCTGGGGAGGGCAGCCTTATTGCGTCCTTCATGGTTGGACACTTTACCACTCCAGGCCAGTAACACGTACTCGGGAATCACTGTAGAACAAAGCATTGCAGTGTATGTTTGCTGACATTCAAACAACATCCGTTCTTTATCTCTCTGTGTTATTCTCAGGAGAGTGAGATATAATTCATGGTCACCTGGTTGAAATAGAGTGCTTTTCTTCAGGGGACACTCAGAGGAGCCCATTCCTGCTGGGCTGTTTGCCTGTGGCTAAACAGAAATGTTCCCTGCTGTTAGCCACAGGGAGGGGGGAAGGTTGAGGGGGTAGCCACGCGGTGGGGGGAGGCAAAATGCAACCTTGTAACGAAAGCACATGTGCTATGTATGTAATGTTAACAGCAAGGTTTACCCTGAAAGAGTGTAGCCACTGTTTTATAAAATGTGTCTTTTTAAATACCGCTGTCCCTTTTTTTTTCTCCACCAGCTGCATGTGTTTCAATGATCACAGGATCTTCTCCTTCCCAGAGGCTAGTGAAGCTTAGAAAGAAAAAAAAACGCACTCGCGATGAAATGTTCTCCGAGCTCATGCTGTCCTCCCACACTGACAGAGCACAGACGAAAGTGTGGAGGCAAATAATGTCAGAGTGCAGGAAAGCACAAAATGACCGGGAGAAGAGGTGGCGGGCTGAAGAGAGGGCTGAAGCTCAAATGTGGCGGCAGCGTGATGAGAGGAGGCAGGATTCAATGCTGAGGCTGCTGGAGGACCAAACCAGTATGCTCCAGTGTATGGTTGAGCTACAGCAAAGGCAGCTGGAGCACAGACTGCCACTGCAGCCCCTCTGTAACCAACCGCCCTCCTCCCCAAGTTCCATAGCCTCCACACCCAGATGCCCAAGAACGCGGTGGGGAGGCCTCCGGCCAACCAGCCACTCCACCACAGAGGATTGCCCATAAAAAAGAAGGCTGTCATTCAATAAATTTTAAAGTTGTAAACTTTTAAAGTGCAGGTACTTGGAGCAAGTGATCAAATGTTACTAGATTGTGTGTGCTTCCATTTGTGGGTCTCAAGAAGGACATGTAAAATCAGAGGTCATATTTGATTATTTTGGCCTCATTTACATACAGCTGTCCTCAAAAGCATACAGTACTAAGAAGAGAGCTATTACAGTAGCAGATTCCCTGAGAAATAGAGTTCTCATGTAATCATTTACACTTGAAGTTCAAATAAATGCATTATACAGCCCAATAATTGGTTCTTGGTGCACTAGATTTTTTCAAGGCAGAGGGATTATTGAAACCCATGTGGTTAAGAGAGCCAAATAGAAAGTATGTATTGCAATTTAAACAATGTTGTTTATATTTAGAGAATATAAGAGGATTGCCACGGACAAATGTGGGGTCAGAATAGTCATTTAAAAACTGGTTGTTTTCAGACCCAAAGTAGTATTCTTACCAAATACAGTGAATCATCTACTCTCAAACTGGATTTTTCAGGGGCCTAGTGGAGTTAAGTATCCTGATTTCTCGCTCAGGCCCTTTTGAAAATTCCCAACTTCAGACTTTGTTGGCAAATGCATTTGCCTTTATTCTAAGCATTTGTCTTTTCTTGGTTTAGGTTTTCTTTTTTTAAGGTGTGCAACTTCTAGCAGCCTGGCTTCTGGTTCCCTCTAGTGTCACGAAGTTTGCTATTCACCTACTTATAACAGCAGAACTGAAGTGCTGATGGAAGTGGGCCTTTTCAGAGTTTTATAGTAAATCTTCTAAACGTTGTTTGCAGTAGAAAGATGGCAAACAGGTTTTCGGTTGTAAGCAATATTCCACCTTGGCAGGATTTTTTCTCAAATGAGGTTTGGATTTATTTTGAGCCTGTCCCACTTGGTTTTGCACATATGACTGCACCTGCTCCTGGTAGACAGCCAGAAAAAAAGGAGAGAGTATAATGACTCAGGGCAGGTCTACACTACCACGAGGATCAACGCTCTGAGATCGATCCACTGGCAGTCGATTTAACGGGTCTAGTAAAGACCCACCAAATCGACTGCAGATCACTCTCCAGTCAACCCCTGTACTCTACCCCCGATGAGAAGAGTAAGGTAAGGTACGTAGCTGAAGCTGCGCAGTGTAGGTCGACTTAACACAATAGTGTAGACATAGCCTCAGCTAAACCACTTTTATGCATCATGTGGAATCAGGCTATTAAACTGGCATTAGGCTCTGACAATACAGGCTACCTCCACACAAGCCAAGGGAGAATTCCACTAGCTGTCAAGCAAAATAGGGCTTATCTCCTCTTTGTAAGCCAGCTGGCCTGGTGGGATTCAGCAAACCTGGCCTCTGCTGCTGAAATAGAGTGTTGTGTATTTATGAACCACAATACATTCAGCAACAGCTGATATGCAGCAGAGGGGCCTGCCCGGCTCAGCAATTCCATCTCAAAGATATAGGGGTAAGGTTGATAGTAGAGGGCATATTGCAGAAAAGGAGGGAGCAATAGCACTAAAAGGAGTCACCATTACACACACCCTTATTCTCCTCTTCCTTCCCTGGTTCAGATTTGGATGTGGGTTTGGGTAGCCCTTATTTTGTCTGAACCAGTTTACTTATTGTTAACAAGCACCAAATATCTTGAGGAAGACACAGAAATGTGTTCATGAATAAGGCTGTGTCATAAATATAAAGGGAAGGGTAAACCCCTTTAAAATCCCTCCTGGCCAGAGGAAAAATCCTCTCACCTGTAAAGGGTTAAGAAGCTAAAGGTAACCTCGCTGGCACCAGACCAAAATGACCAATGAGGAGACAAGATACTTTCAAAAGCTGGGAGGAGGGAGAGAAACAAAGGGTCTGTGTCTGTCGGTATGCTGCTTTTGCCGGGGATAGACCAGGAATGGAGTCTTAGAACTTTTAGTAAGTAATCTAGCTAGGTATGTGTTAGATTATGATTTCTTTAAATGGCTGAGAAAAGAATTGTGCTGAATAGAATGACTATTTCTGTCTGTGTGTCTTTTTTGTAACTTAAGGTTTTGCCTAGAGGGATTCTCTATGTTTTGAATCTAATTACCCTGTAAGGTATCTACCATCCTGATTTTACAGGGGTGATTCTTTTACTTCTATTTACTTCTATTTCTATTAAACGTCTTCTTGTAAGAAAACTGAATGCTTTTTCATTGTTCTCAGATCCAAGGGTTTGGGTCTGTGGTCACCTATGCAAATTGGTGAGGATTTTTACCAAACCTTTCCCAGGAAGTGGGGTGCAAGGGTTGGGAGGATTTTGGGGGGAAAGACGTGTCCAAACTACGTTTCCCAGTAAACCCAGTTAGAGTTTGGTGGTGGCAGTGGATATTCCAAGGACAAAGGATAAAATTAATTTGTACTTGGGGAGGTTTTAACCTAAGCTGGTAAAAGTAAGCTTAGGAGGTTTTCATGCACGTCCCCACATCTGTACCCTAGAGTTCAGAGTGGGGGAGGAACCTTGACAGGCTACAAGTCTTTCATGGAGGTCACGGAAGTCACAGATTCCATGACTTTCCGGGACCTCCGGGACTTCTGCAGCAGCTGGTGTGGCTGACCAGAGGGACCCCCTGAGCAACTGGGGTGCCCCCAGGACAAGCCACACTGGCTGCTGCTCTGACGGCTCCAGGTAGATAGTCCTGGGCGCTGCCCTGGAGCATGTCCAGAAGCAGCAGCAGAGCTTTGGGCCATGCTCCTCCACCAGAGCAATAGCAAGAGCAGCAGGAGGACCCTGGGCCTCCTCTCCACAGCAGCAGGAGGGTGGGCCTCAGGCTGCCCCACGCAGCAGTGGCGTTGGTGACTTGGGTTCCCCCCTCCCAGAGTGCCCACCCCCACTCCGGGATCAGCAGCGCCCCCGGAAGTGCCCCGCCCCAGCACTTAAGATTTAGTTAGGGGTATTTTTAGTAAAAGTCAAGGACAAGGTACTAGCCTGTGATGATTTGGTTATTGCTCATGACCTGTCCATGACTTTTACTAAAAATACCCATAACTAAATCGTGGCTTTAGTCATGAACATGGAGAAGAGTATCTCAGGGTGCAAGGACTCTGTCTGCCCTGAGAAGAGACCAGCCACAGCTCCAGTCTCTGACCGTTTCCTCTGCAATGCAAACCATCCCACAGAAGTGGGGAAGAAGTTAAGCCCCTAGTCCCACTGTACACCTCCACGCTTGGTGAGAAACAGAGTGGACTTTACCCTGTACCCCATGGACGGAAAAGGGGTTCATTCATGCTGAAACTGGGAAACCTGGGCCTTCCCAAAGCACAGTGCCCCCTGGTGCTTCCACCCAAGAATTGCAACTCTGCACTGCCCCCAACACAGAGCTAGGGTGAAAAACTACCGCTGAGCCATTACTGGCTAAGTTAAAAGCTCAGATATTCAAAGATTTGGAAGTTCAGAATTATGAACTTTAATGCCCTGAGCTGACAGACAATTTGTACACTTTGTTTCACATATACAAGAGGAGCCCTTCCTCCCTCAACTAGACAAATCTATAGGAGAGAGGTGGCTTATGATCAGAACATCCTTCTTCAACCACAGAACATTGATCCATCTTTCCTTATAAATCGTACTTCCGACTCCTTATGAACCCTGCATCTATGTTGGAAACATGATGGAATATGTTGATGTGGAACATAAGAAGCAGTCGGAGCCAGAGGTCATCACCATCCCATTGTCATTAAAGAGAGGTGGAAGAGTACTAAATGTACATTAGCATGTGTGTTTCAGAGTAGCAGCCGTGTTAGTCTGTATCTGCAAAAAGAACAGGAGGACTTGTGGCACCTTAGAGACTAACCAATTTATTAGAGCATAAGCTTTTGTGAGCTACAGCTCACTTCATCAGATGCATAGAGTGTGTGAGCTCATGTGTAGGCTGCTCTCTCCCATGT